TCTCTGACTGAAGGATGAGTGGCGCTATATCTTTCATCAGATTGCTGACCATCGACAATTAACAGCTGGGAGAGTGCAGGTCTGAAACTCTGTTTTCCTTGGCTTTTTAGTACAGATTTGCTACTTTTAGAAGATGAATCCTCCATTGGAATTTTTTCCGTTCCGCACCGTTTTCGACTGATCACAGTGTAAAAACTCGGTCCAGAACCGTGTCATCCTGAGTGATTGATTCAGATAGATCATCAGAACACAATAACTTGACTAATGACTTGAAATCGTTCAGATACGGACCTTCCGGTCAGTAAATTCGCGCTCTAAGCCATCTCGTCCCCAACTTATGACATGGCATATCCTAATCATCACAAACATCAGCGTGTAGTTCAGCTAGATTGAAAACTAAAAGACCTTTTCTCTTTGGATTATTCGTACTATTTTTCCGTCAGCTGTACTCGTTACAGAAATAAACACGCTGCTCCAAGTTAAGAGAAGTGATGTTTTAGAGTTCTCATCTTCTGAGTATATTAGGGGGGTTAGATTCCTGAAAGTAACTCCCAGAACGTCCACCCTAAACTTCCACCAACATCTCAGTAGGAAAGCCGGCAAGTATGTAGGCCAGTCAATCATTCAATCAGTTCAGCAAAAGCGGATGAGTGTTCAGGCACACCACAGAAGCACGACCGAATGCAAACATTGTTCAGGCATGTCATAGAGGCACGATCGATGTTGATGGGTGTTCACTAACATCTATCGGACAGCCTGGATCAACGCTCTCACTCGCTTGTTCGGAATACAGCTGTTGTGTTCCCTTCTGTGAGTCTTTCTTCCGGCACTAGGCACTGAAGCGGGTCAATAGCAGATACCACAGATTGGCAAATCAGCAGATATAACAGAGCATTTAGTTTATGTCACTTCACCGTGCTCATGTAAGGACGTCAAAGATGGAAGGCTATTGTATCCTGTGGGATTTTCTCTTTTCTGAAAAGAAATCAAACGAGGCTCAAACAGCATGCATTGTCTTCATTTGTAAGGTGAAATTTCGGTTATAACTTCAAAATCTCCCCAATTTTTTGTACGCGCTGTGCTTTCGGAAGATGATTTTAACCGGTTTTGAACAGCTAACTTATTATTTCACCTTCAAGACTAAAACAAACTTGGCAACCTCCGACATTACAGTTCACTTGCTCAACCAAACAAGTTAGGCGTATTCGAGGAATACACCCATTTCCAAATCAATTTGGTTTTCATGGGAGACTCAATTGAATCTCTCGTTTATGATGTCTCCCGTGAAAACCAAATTGATTTGCCAATGAGCGCATTTCTCGAAAACAGTGCAATTTGGGTTCAAGTAAATCATAAGGTAGACAGAAAGTCGGGAACTGCGCCTACCTGATGAGCCCCAAGAAGGGCGAAACCGGTCGTGGGCTGTCGAAGAGTTTCCAGCAAACTTGTGAGTAGTTTCCTTTATGAAAATAGTTAGGTGTATCTTCAAACTTCGCTGCCAAACAAGGACTTGGCGGCGAAGCGTGAAATCCATTACCATCAAACTCAGCTTCGCTGGTCACTACTGTCTTCCTATATGGAGACCCCGAGACGGGCCACATCAATCGTTAGGGAAACTGTCAGACATGGTCCAGCTTTTAATCGCACTCGTGCATCCAAGCTATTGCCCTCGATGCATAGCTCCCTTCCAAATTTTCCCACCTAACGGTATTTGCGCTTTATTTACGCAACAATTTATCAGCTTCCGTCTTCAATGCTCAGCAACTTACCCCGCTGCCCCAAATCATCGGTGAACGAAGCTGTGGCAGCTACAACCACTGTACGACAAGTACGCGGTTCTTACAGCTGACAATAATGATGATAATGTGTCCTCGAAAGCCATGAATGGGTCCTAAACCACAAAAGAGTTGAGTTACAGTGCAACACACCAGACAAACTATGGAAGTGGATCGTTAATTAATCAAACAGACTGATGAGAAAAACTCCAAAATGGTTGGCCCTGCAACTGATTTGATATCAGACGAGGTCAAAAAACATCCGGTGAAAAGCTAAATTTGTCTATTATAACAGTACGATAGCAAAGTCCATAGTCGTGGAAAGTCTTAGTGGCAGCCCTCCCTTGATTTTCAAAGTGGTGAAGCCGCCAACGTACAACAGTCATATGAAAGTTTTGCGTCTAGAAGCTCCCTCGATGTTGAAGTGACCACTGATGTAGTCGGCCGAAGAAGAATTTTCTATAGAATAGATGTTCTCAGTTGCATTAGTGTACATTGTATTTTGAATTAAAGTGCGCCGTCCTGAACGTGAGACTCATCCTTCGACCGCGAAAGGGCAGCAAGCAAGGTTACCTAGTCTGTTCGAAAGAAAAAGCCGAAAACTCTTTCTATTGGTGTCTTTACCAGAATCTTTTGGGGTAGATCAACTCCAGATGCGTTAGAAAGCCGTTAATCGAACCGCAATACGTTGTAAGTAAGCTGTACTGTACTATCATTTTTACAAAACAAACAGGGCTGCACTCCTCAGTCAATACTTGAAACATATTCTGCCTAGACATGATTCTATGCGTAATTCCTACAAGTTTAAAGCATCCAGTATGAGTGAACTCTGATGTATCTGAAGTAACAAAAAATAGCAACAGAAGCTTCACAAGGTTANTTATTCTAATGTATAACAATATTATACAAAATAGTATAATGACATTATGATAGTAAAAATAAAGATAAACAAAAAGTGTAGCTGATTTTCACCCAATCGTTTGTCCACTGCACCAACAGCGTACGCGTCGCGGCGCGTTTCGACCGGTGCAGTCGGGAAAAATGCTTTGACCCCGGTTGATTTTGAGCTCATTTCACGATTTGTGTGAGTTGGCGAATGCTTGTGACTGCGAACGGAGTATTTACTTCCTGTCGCTTTGGAACCAAGGAGTTGATTCTTCCGGCAAAATTGTTATTGCGAGTGGGGGAGGCCGTCCTTGAGTAGTATGTTATCAAAAAACTAGATTACACGACCCCNCGCAGTCCCCGGGTTTCCGTCAACCTTATGTTCTACTTCAAACAAAAAAATTGCACCAAATTAGCCAATAGACACCCACTTGATTTCTTTGCTGACCTGACGTGAACAGAGCCATCACCAGTGAAGCCCATCAGGTGCTGAAATTTTTAGCGTAACCAAGACAGTCTTTATGCAGATATGGGGCAGAAACCAACGCTAGAGTAGGTACAATGTTTAGCCATCACGCAGTGTAGATTATCGAGAACTTGTCGCTTGCACCCAACCCCAAATTGAGACGCTTGCCAAGTCTGATGGTTCATAAATCCCAGTGGGAGTCGTTTGCTTTTCACTGTTCTATACCAGCCAATACTAGGGTTCTGTAGTGCAAGTACTGTGGCAGACGGACGCATGAACAAGGCAGGTCGGGGCAAATTCAAGCCAATACGTTTATAAACATACAGGCGTCAACTTTGCGTAAACAGATTGAAAGCGCATGGCTTTATTTTGGCTTGTGGATAGCAACACACTATCAAATCTCGCGTTGAAAGATCTGGTTGTGTAAATGCCTAGTTTCTATCACCACATGTTAAACAAGGTTTCAGGGAGTTCTGTCATCCTTCTGTTCCCCCGTACATGTTTACATGTTCATTAGAGCTGTGTTGCTAGACGCAAAAAAACGGGGAAATAATTTCAGCGAATAAGTCGAACTATGCCGTTTTCGTGCGGTCTTTGTGGACGGTAATTCAGCTGAAAACACTGGTGGATTTTTTGAATTTCCTGCTTGATTCGGAGTGCTTCTCCAGCTCTGGGACTACCAGCAAACGACAAAAAGAAGAATCGCTTTGTTGGCAAAAGATCAGATATGATAATGCAGCTGCCAACATCGCGGGCAAACAAAGCTATCGGAATGCGTTTAAGCCCTCAAGCATCTCTTCCAATGCACGCCATCGAACTACTGCCGGCTATTTTAGTAGTATTCACAAACGGAATAAGTTGGTGAATTAATCAGTGAATAAGCCAGTAAATAATTAACTAGATAGATCGCGATCACAGCACCTGGATGCTGCCTAATTAAGCACTGAATCGGTTGTACACAGTGTCTTGATCTTTTGAATCCAGCCAACAGTATGACAAAATCTCATCACGTGAGGTCAAGCTGAAAACAAAACGTCGGTTTAGTAACGCGCTGATGTGAAGATCTACAGTCAACAATTGTTTCTGGTGCTTGAGCATCCAAGCTGAAAACAAAACGCGCTGATGTGAAGATCTAGAGTCAACAATTGTTTCTGGTGCTTGAGCATGAGATCGCATTTGTGTTGACTTTTAAATCAACCTGATGCAGTGTCGACCAACGGTCCTCTTGCTGAAGAGTAGAGTTTAGTGACTCCAGACCACTGGCTGAAGCACAGAGCGGTAAAGTGCAAAGGTAAGTGTGTTCACTGCTCACTAGAACAAAAATCTTGGTGCTTGAAGCTTTGGTCTAATATGGGGTTGGAAGTTCGTTCCACTTGGGTTTGTCTGTGTAACAATACCCGGTGTTCTGAAGAGGATTTTCTGATACAACACATAAAACGCTATGTGACCAGCAGACAAAATGTTGTGTCTAACTAGTGCATTCCCGTGCTTTTTCGGCTCAATGAGGCCGAGTTCATAGAGCCAGTGGTCAAATTCACGTACACGATCCTTATTTGGAAGGCACAGCATTCCCGGAATCACCCTTTTTTTAGCTGTCTACGGCCGATCTGCTTAGACAGATGTTAACCTGTGTGAGCTTCTTTGGGAACGTGGTCTTTGAACGATTTTCTTAAGTAAGAGTGTAAATGTTGGGTCCCTAGGTAGCAACTGAAAGGTAATTTCGCCGTGGGACAGCTTCACATGAACTAAGGGTCTTGAAACCAATATAACTTGCCCAATAAAAATTAACGTCACTTGTGAAAACCGACAGTCGGTTGGGAATAGTCCACTACGCACTATCGGACCCTCACTTTTCTTCCCCTCTCTCATTTTAGCGTGCAATGGGCACCAACCCGATAACCCTGGCCGCTCCGTCGTCCAAAGCCGGTGATGAGTTCGTACTCGATATGGCCACAAGCGCGGTGGCCTTGGGAAAGGTAAGCACACCACGCATTATAAACCCATGCTGTTTTCTTTTCGAATGCCTGATGACTACTCGGTGTCAATAATGTGTCTTAGGTCTTTCTTGTTCGATGATAAACCCCAAGCACAGTTGAGAAAGTTGAATTTATCCTTCGTGATTTAGAACTTACTTCAAATTCACTCATTTCGCTCACCTTCGCACTGATAAGTTTGTTTTAATTGAGCGCTGATTAGCTTCGTTGACCCTGTCCTGTAAATATTTCCATAGTGTATGAGTCAACTACTTTCCGACGTATTCACCATTCGATCAGGTTTAGTACCTACTATATGGATGCATGGTTGACCTTCAAGTGATCGGCACATCAACCATCGTGCGAGACACATGTTGGCTGTTTATAGTTACATTATAAACTCGGGTGTGTCTTGTTTACTTCAAATTTGCTAAGCCTGGTATACTTCAATCTGTGAATATCACTTTCACAATGGGTGCACCGTTCGTGCCTGACATGAACGCTGTTCATCCGAACAGGTTAGATTTGAAACCCAGTTGTTAGTTACGTGATACTTCTCGTGTGGCATGGTGCTATGAATAGAGTCCGTCAAACAAAGCTGTCCTACCCCCTCAAGCATAGTTTGACAAACCTGTGAGGGTTTGATTGACGTATTGTTCAGTGCGATTTGTTTTTTTTTCACTGCGTTTGAAAGTCGATTTTCGGTTGGTCATGGGATACACCATGTAGGTAATCGTTGAATTTTCAGTCATGATAATAGGTGATTACCAGTTGGTACTGCATCAAAGGGAGTATCAAATCCACACTTTACAAAGTACGTACAGTATTAGTGCATTGATGTTGATGACGGCCATAGTACAAATCAGAAGGTGTATGCACTAATAAAAGATTTTATCATGGTTGATAGTGGTGGGTTGCAACACGTATAAAAATAAATAAAATGCGAAAATGTGAGCAAGTCAAAAAAGGAACTGATTGTCTGTGAGAGTGCCTTGGTGAAAGTCCCGCGGCGGGAACGTGTTCTTCTCCGCAGTGCGACTGCTACACGTGTTCCATAATTATCCGTGGTCTTGGAGTGTTTGGCTGACGCCTTGCTCCCTGCGCGCGACGTCTGATGAGTCACCTTAATGTGACGTGTTTGCGAGTATGAAAAAAGACAAGTCTCGTGATCCAGTGAGCGACTGTGAGCTGAACAGTCAAGTATGTGGGTGACCGGGTAGCTACAACAGAAGCGTTTCAAAACCTGTAGTAGCAAAGTTGTGCGACAAACAGCATCCACGATCATGTCTGAGCACAGTTGGGACAATTTGAAAAACCGTTACCAACATCAATATGTATTTCGCTAACGCATTCTCCTTTAATCGTGCTGAAACTCGAAAAAGGCGCAACAGGATGAGAGACAAACGAACCACCCCGGAAACTGTTCAGAAGTTGACGGACTGCTACCCTCTTGGGACTTGCAGCAAACGCGTTGCTACTGATTCTCAGAAAGAATGATGGACTTCTGAAGTTTCTTCTTTGAGTATCTTGAGGGAATGGTTTTGTGGAATCTCAATCACTCCTTGCCATTTCTCACAGAAGAATATTATCAATTGGCCATTTATGGACATTGCTTTCGGAAATAGCCATTCGAGAATTGGTCTGCGGTGAGTCATGTGACCGGAATCTGCGCTTATAAAGGACGTTCATACCAATCATATGGTTCCTGAGATAGTTATACAAATGGAGTGCTGTTAACTATCCTAGCCACAATTTTCCGGATACGTTCCCCCAAAATGCCATAAAGTGCGCGAGGCCGATGACTGCTAAAAAGGACGAACCGACCGTACTTAGCTTTTGGAATTTTCGAGCAAGAGCTCTGTCAAGAAGGTCAGGTTCCTGAAAGCAACTTCAGAACGCCCGGAACCTGCTGCTCCACCAAAAACTCAACAGTGAAGCCGGCAAGCATCCAGGCCAGTCAATCATTCGATCAATTCAGTAAAACCTGATGAGTGTTCTCTGCGCCACAGAAGCACGACCGAATGTGATCAGCGTTCAGGCTTTTCACAGAGGCACGATCGATGTTGATGGGTGATCACTAACGTCTATCAGACAGCCTGGATCAATGTCAGAAAGTCCCCTTTAAATAGCGTGGGGCCGTTGTAACTTTTGATCTCGCACTCGCACGCACTCATGCTCTCGCACTCGTTTGTTCGGAATATATCAGTTGTGTTCACTTCTGTGAGTCAATTTTCTCCGGCATTAGGCACTGAAGCGGGTCAGCAGCAGATACCACAGATTGACGAATCACCAGATATAACAAGCTCACTTAGTGATTATGTGCAGATCACAAGAAGTGATTGTCATCCCAGCGAGATGCACTTATTTGCACGCCAATTCTGTTTCTGCGGGAATATCTCGTTTACGATGAGTTTTCAGCAACCCCATGAGTAATGTGTTTCGTCCGTTGGTTGTTATATCTATTCGCGCTAAACTAGTTTCTTGTCAAAATGAATGTATCGAGAACGTCCATCGGTATTCCAGAATGTGCACACATTTGAGCGTATTTCAGCGAACCGTCTCATCATCTCCACCGTCATCGACAACATCAGCGTAAGCGCTCAAACATGCGACATTTCGTAACTTCCTGCGACGTAACTTCCGGAGCAATATCGCCAGTTTTCGGCGTCAACGCTTTCAAATAGATGGACCTCTTCTAACATGGTAAGCCGGCATCTGTTGACCGAAAACAGACAAGAACTACGGAGGCTCCTCACTCTTTCACATGACCAAATCTGCAATGTATACATTTTAGCCGTGCTACTTGGGCGTTATTTCAAAATGACATGGCGGTAGACAAGAAATTTGGATTTACAAAACAGTCCGAAAAAGATCTTCCACAGAGACAATCTAGCTTTGCTTGGCTTGTTGTAGCCTGTTATAGCGTTCCACAAGGAGGGCATCCACTTTTTTGGCCCAGGAATATCGATGTTTTTGGTGCGCTAAATCACCTGATGGTGTCTAACGTCCTCAAACTCTACGCTGGGCTCGGTGGTAAGTATTTGATGACAGCCTGGGCTTGATGATTCGCGTGATCAGTCATCGGTTCAAAGACCAGGAAGTCACCTTTGGCTGTGTTAATCACTCACCGAGACGCCATTGAACAACAGCCAGTCTGTGTTTGAGACATGACCAATCAACTTGATCTCACACAAGAGGCCGCTGTAGTAAGATACCAAGGTTCAAGTGCGAGGAAAGTTGGCTATGCAGTTTGGTATCATGTGGTTTGTCACTGCTACATCACCTCAAATGTCAATTGCACGGAAGACTGAAACTAAGCAAGGTTTCGTGAATTTTCACCGTACTCGGAGTTTTCAATCCTACAGGTGGTGAAATGGTTGCTGAATAAATCACGACACGACCGAAAATAACTTGGTCTAATTCACCAAGACAGAGAAGACTATCAATCCAATTGGGAAAACATCCAAGGAGTTGCTCACGCAAGAATAAAACGGTCGTGGGAGTTTGTCCACATATGGTACTCCAAACAGAAATCCAAGTCTATCAGCTGCAACGAAAAGAACAGTTTCACAACCACGCGACTCCGAAAGGCATGGGAAATCAAACGGACCAACAACAACCAACTATCCAATCGGAGCATAAAAAAGCTGCTAAAACAGATAGTTCGTTCAAGTGGAACAACACCAGACGACAAAGCACGTAGGAATCGGCCCAGTCAGAACAAAGGGACAGAACTGTCGGATTGAAGGCACACAATGAACCAACAAGAACCGGTACCACAAACCTAACCAACCAATCACTTCAGAGCTATCGAATGCAGTTCAGAAACGGTATAAATAAAGGCGGAAGATGGGGAATTTACCGTTCCACAACCCAAACAGAAGTTGTATGACAGAATGAAAGCTTCAGCTGGTTGGCACTTACTCGTCAAGTTGTTCTGCAAAATATGTATGCGGGTTAAGTACAAGGCTCGCGATATCTTGCTTCTTCCATGGTTCCACCAATGCCCATCTTCAACATTTCGCAGGTGATACAACAAATAAGGGCGTTTTTGAGTTAGCCTACTTTTCGGCTGTAAGTAGTATAAGAATAATGGGCGTACAAATTCTCCCGAAGAATGCAATGCAGGGCCGCTAAAGCAACGGGCTGAGTATAGGTTTAAAAGAGCAAGACATACGTCACTGTGCTCGGTTCACGGTCTTCAGCAGTGCGTCTGGTCTCGCGAATTCCTTTCTTTCTTTACCTGGCACGATAGATAACAAAGAAAACACACCGCTCTCCCTCGGCTTTAAGCGTAATGTACACTTTAATGGTTGCAGTATGTCGGTTGCAGTAGATACCTTCGAAATAACGACTTCTGAGTTCAAGAGCCCACCAAGCTTGTGAATGAGCTGGCACTCATTCACTTCAGGACTTGACTAAGAGATTGCAACAGTTTACATTTGTAAATCTTGCCTGATCATGAACGCTTGAGTATATTCTTGGAAACACATTCCTCTGAAGTCTAACCATCCACAAGTCCAACGAACTTACATTCACGGAACATGTTCTGATCCATCCCCTAGATTGAAATGTGTCGCCGCCGAGGAGTCCCGATTCCGCATGGTTGGGGAGCCGACAAAAATGGAAAGGTACGTGAAACCCTTCGAAGTGTCGTTTCACAGATGGCTAATTGAATGCGATTGCTGGTGTCTGGTGCTTCTTGAAGTCGACTATGTCACTTTTTTCAGGAACCACAACAAACCTTTTCTCATTGGCCTGCTTGGCACACATTCCCAGCAACTGCGTGACCACTCCAGTATTTTTGGATTAGACAACCAGGTATAGCTTATGCCTGTAAGAATTGACACTGATTGGTGAAAAAGCTAAAATACCGTTGAGATTAATGCAATTGTTGTGAACACAAGGCACCTGGCCTCCAGTCTTAACAGCCACTTTCCGGATGAGTGGAACTGCATGCATTTAGTCAAATTTCGCGGATGTATGGAAGGCACAAATAGAGCAGCTAATGAAAGAGCGTTGGATAAATGGAAACCCTTACTATTTGCATGAAACCTTCTAGCCTATTACTCAAAACTTTCCAGGTGTCACTCCCAAAAGATGGTTGATATTCATCGCCCGATTATTCTTTAATTTACAAGCGCCAACATGAGACAAATTAATTTACTGCGTGATCTCATCTAGTCCACCACAGATCCTGCAGAGGCATCAGGCGAGGGTGCACTGTTCCCACTTGGAGGTGAAGAAGAGAACAGTAAGTGTGACATAATGTGTGTGTGTGTATTTGTCTGGACAGTCGTCCTCTCTTGAGATAGTGATCAGAATTCTGTTTCATTGATTTTTGTGCACATTACAGTGAAACCGAATTGTCTAACCCCGGGAATTAAAACCTCAAAAACGGAACTATTGTTCGCTTCTAGGAAAGGGGACAACCAGTCGCTGCTTTAAAATTTCATAACCATCCACCTATTGTGTCCGTCAATCCATGCCTTGCTAGGGGTCCCTACGGGAAACCAAGAATTCAGCAAATACCAGTTTAGATGACCAGCTTTCATTATTGCCAGGTCAGTGGCAGAGCATTTCCGAAAATCAGTGCATCGGAAAAGCGGTTGATCGGTAAATTACTGAACCGTCTCTCAGAATCTTATAGCAAGAATGCACTGTCAGCTTGCGAACGACAGTTTTAACGATAATCATTTTGGAATCAACATTCTTTATAAAGGATTGGCGGTCATCCAGTGTGTGCCGGTGTAGTAATGGTCGGGAGACTCCGTCTGTGTGTTCTCTGTGAATCAAGAATATGTTCACTCTTCGGACGCTCACACATGGAGATGGAATCGACCGCATGTCCGAAAATCGAACTACTCAAACCGAGAAACTCTTTGAAGGCAGTAACTTACATTTTGGTGGTACTGGCTTATTTTTGGGAGATCAGGTTGTTTTTAAAATACCTTTCTTGTGACTTTTTAGGCCCAGAAAAGTGAATTTGTCGCAAGAAGCCCGTTTTTGTGAACACTGTTTTTCGGTGGTCAGTTTAGTTTATTTCTCTCCCCAAAAAATGAATATTCGTGGAAATTGCGTTTCCTTCACAGAATTTTATTCTTTTGCTACAAGCACCCAATACAATTCACTTTACAAGATTGTTCCAGGTATTTGGTGCCGTTGTACCTTTCCGATTGATAGTGGAAGTTCAGTAGAACCACAGTGCCTCTTGGCTTTTCAGCGTAAAAAGACCTGTGAAGGAAACTTAGACCCTTCTGTCTTTACAGTAATCCCCAAATGAAGAATACCAAAATAGTGGATCTCTTTGCGCCCACCAGGTAGAGTGATCTTCTGAAAAGTTTCTCCAAAGGGGCCGGTTTCCTTAAGGCATGTATTTTCCCACGTCGACCATTTTACAATGTTTGGATTTATGGTGGTACTTCATTTCATAAAGGACACACCTTTAACACTTTACACCTATGACTGTGGTTTTATTTGCTTTTAGATTGTTTGTCGGACACAGTTTCTACAAAAAAGCCATTGCCTTGCATTTTAGGTGGATACAAAGGATTCGGACTTGGGATGATGGTGGAAATCTTCTGCGGTATCATGGCTGGTGGGGCCTATGGGGCCAACGTTCGGCGTTGGATGACTACTGACCGACCGGCAAACCTGGTACGGCGTTGTTTTCTATTTTTTTTTACAAAGGGACTCCAAATCAAAGCATCTGATTTTCCAACATTTCTTCAAACTGCCTTGAATTTTGGTAGTAATCCTTTAGACAGTGGCTCAGAATCCAAAGCAATGCAGAAGATTGTTCGACGCTCAAATAATAGGATTGTAGTCCTCGGTGTATTCTACCTCAAAGAACTCGGGTACCATATTTGTAATGGACTAGTCATAAGGTTGCTGAAAATCCGCTGACAGCCCACGACCGGTTTTACCCTTTTTGGGGCTCATCAGGTAGGCGTAGTCCCCGGGTTTCCATCAACCTTATGCTCTACTTGAAACCAAATTGTACGAAACTAGCGAATATACACTCATTTGCAAACTAATTTGGTTTTTTGAGAGGCTCACCTGGAACGAGAGATTCAGCTGGGTTCCAGGTGAGTCTCTGGAAAAACCAAATTAATTTGCAAGTGAGTGTGTATTCGCTAACTCGGGTACTAGTTCGTAAGGCGCAGGAAACAACAGCTATTATTGTGTCTGCGAATCATATTGAAACGGCGAGTATTAATTATCGTATGTGCCTTTGTAAATCTGGCCTCGTTCTGCGAATGCATTCAATCAAAGCAAACATAAGGATTCTCTAACCGGTGTTAAGGGGAAATCAAACTGAACCCCAGCCTAATCTATTGTTTGTGACATTCCTTAGTTGTGTCTCTCTGTATTGTAGCAAGTTTCTTTGTAATTGAGTAAAACAGATAACTGTTTATCTGCAAAACTCCTTCGGTGCCTAGCTGCGATGCCACCCGAAGGAGGCACGAGGGCTGGGATACTGTCCGGTTGCCCAAACGTATACAGGAGAAATCGAGATGCAGAGATCGGGTTCGAACCACAGATCTTCTGGTCAGTAATTTTTCGCTTTAATCACTGAGACATAGTAATCGAGTTCACTTGGTCATCTGCTTTTAATTCGATGTTTAATTAGAACTGAAATCTAGGGACTGCACCCATCCCAAGCTCCAAGAAGACCAAAACCGACTTTGGGATGTAGAAGACGTTTAAACGAACTATTGTGTCGTATACTGAGTCAAGAATATTTCCACTAATTACAGTTCTGTTGAAGGTTCTCGTTTGGCCAATAATTGTTTCTAACTTCTTCAACCCTACCAGGTAGGCACCGTCCCTGGGTTCTCATCAGTCTCATTCTCCAGCTGATCATCAAGTTGTACAGCAATAGACTCATTTGCAAATCGAGTTGACGTGAAGGAAAGTTCGTCACCAGCTTATGGCTGCGCAAACCATGATGTGCATCGAATAGGTCTAATTCGTACGGATTATGAAGGTCAGGACCATTAACACACACAGGCTACGGTTTTTTCCATTGGATTTCAATCCGGGAGGGGAGCGGGCCCAGCCATGCTCATGAGGCTACGAAACACTGAGCACAGTCGGTTTGATAATGGCTTGTGCATTATTGTATCGTCATGTCAAAGCTCGTGAATTCAAGACTATTTATTGAGGTCTTGGGATGGGTTGAAATGCAAGTAGGCAAAATCGCCAAACAGGGCTTTCATCCTGCGAAATTCTTACCCCTGATAACAATTTAAGTCCAAAGACTGAGGTCTTAGTTTTTAACTTTGTGCATTATTCCAACTCAACAAAATGAACTCAACGTTTTTCCACCACTAAGATCCACAATATTAGGAATTGTTGTGATGCGGCAAGCAAGATTAATTCCTTCCATTTGTGTACTTAAATGCAGTACCCACCTGTTCGACCACCGCAGGTATCATAAATCCACGAGATCTCTTCCCGACTTTAGGATGCCCGTAAGTTGGTCGGAGCCGACAAGTTGAATTCTTCGTTTTTTCAGTGTTGGGTTTGCACGCCAGGACGTCAAATTTTATCCTCTTATGTTATCGACGATTTCAGTGACAATGAATATCAATCGGTGGAGCCAAACGTCAGTGATTTATGAGACCATTGATAATCTAGAGGTCTGTATTTTGCTCTGATGTCTTTATAGTGCCTGGAGCCTTCCCAAACTTCACGACTTTGTATTCACATGTAATTTACAGTGTTCCGTGTTCCGTGGTTTACTGCCTGGCACAGTAGTGACATATCGTTAAATGTTACCGAAATGACATGTTTAAATTTTAGGGCCAATCATTTGTTGCCATTGATCCGAATGCGTTTGCCAGTGGATTCGGTGAGAGATTGTCCGATTACATGAACAGCATGCGCAATCTTGCCAGAGTGAGTCAAAACTGATTATACGGATTATTTCTTGAAGACCACTGCAGAGCGAGTAATTTCAAAGATTTTGTGTACTTGTATGGATTATGTGGGAGAGAAACTTACCTACGCTAGTATTCGTGCATTTCTGGCCCTCCGGCTACCACAGCATACCAGGTCTTCGTTTTTCCTCCGTGAGCACACTATATTTGTACTACTTGTGCAACTGTCAGTAGCTAAATATTATCGCTCCGGACATCCGCTTTGCAAGCATCCATTGGAGAGTAATTTTTCACGAGACCAAATCCGTGTTGCTGTTACGGTTCGGTCACACAGCGAGCAAACAATATGATATGCGGATTGTGGCAATACTCTATCCCCGGCTATGTTGCTTGATCCAGACTCCTAGCACGGCGGATAGTAAGAAGACGAAAAACCTCGGACACAAACTTTAATGATCCAACAACACGCGATCAACAGGCGATCATGGGAAAAAATGACAATATATATATTCATAGTTTGACCTTGAAGATGCCGGAATTTCGCCAGCACACATAAAAATACAGAGTTCTTTTGGGGATATTGATATCCCCGACAGTTGCCTAGTGTTCCAAATATCGAGGACTAGTGACCACAAGATATCTCCCATGTGTTAATGAACCCGTTCGCCTAAAGGTACAAATGCACCTTAGAAGTAAGTAAGTAGTAAGATTCATTACGTTTGCCTAAGAAGAGCCCATCCTAATAGGACAATAATTCTGAAGGCATTTTCAGGAAACCGAATTGGTAAGAAGGGAGTACGTCAGGCACTCTTCTTAGGCAGAATCACTGAAATCAAGGAGGCATTTCGGTTCGAATGAGAATTTCTTCTTGGGATGGGGAACATATACTTAAATGTTCACAGTGAATCAAACACGTCACTCAGAAGTGAACATTTTATCCTACCAAAGTGGGGGGGGAAGCACTGGAATCGAGTTTTGGTCTCATTATAGCTCATCAGTAATGCTCATTCCTAGCTGTGCTGTGGTTTAAAAACTGGAAATCTGACACGCGAGTTTATCCTGTTCAAACGTGGAAATTTAGATGCGTGCACCATGTTCTGGTGAATTGGTGGCAACAGGATAAACTCGCGTGTCAGATTTCCGGTTTTTAAACCACAGCACGGCTAGGGATGAGTACTACTGATGAGCTATAATAAGACCAAAACTCGAGTCCAGTGCTTCCCCCCCCCTCACTTTGGTGTGGATTCACCAGAGTAACTGCGCCAGGACAGCAGGATAACTGTTCAAGCCACTGTAATTTCAGTATGATTCCTACAAACTTTGCAACCACCTACAACAAATCAAAACATCCACTTTGACTTCCGGGGACTCACCAAGTAACTGCGCCAGGACAGCAGGATAACTGTTCAAGCCATTGTAATTTCAGTATGATTCCTACAAACTTTGCAACCACCTACAACAAATCAAAACATCCACTTTGACTTCCGGACTGTTTCGAGATCTTCTTCACTTGGTTCAGCTGTAAAAGTACAATGAAGAAAGGCCTGACACTGAATTGAGCGTCATAATGTGGTTACTTCGTTTCTTTCCGTGGGCTAAGGGCATATGGAAATTACCAAATAGCCAGCCTTGTTTTGAGAACATTCCTATGAGATAACGGATTAAACAGTGTAGGTGGAGTGGTGTGTTAATCATGTAATGTCAGTCATTGTTTTAATCAGTAGAATTGACACAACAAAAGCAAGCAATTTTCAAAGTGGTTATGAAATGTGATTCGACAAACCATTTTTCTCTCGTATTCGGTGTAAAATTGATTGGTCAACTGAACAAAGATGATCTGTCTCCGAAATAGGGCAAATATTGTTCTCTGTTGTTAAACAGAAGTCCTTAAAACAACCTGTAGTCCAAAGCTTTGGAGTGGTTTTCTTCTTGGACGATGTGTGACTCCACCCTTACGTTTCAGGTGGATAAAAACGTACCTGTTGTGATACCTGGTGATCCCGAACGAGCACACATTGAAGAGTGTAAAAAGATCGGGGGCATTCGCTACCCGCCTGTACTCATCGATAGCATGGTGAGTTTATCTCCGAGCCAGGGTTGGATTTTTGCCATTTCGGTTATTACGGTATGTTAACATTGTTGAAAATTAATTTCCCTAACATTCTCCTTTGCAGGAGCCTTTGTCTCGGAGACCAGATCGCCACACTGTTTGAAAATCAATCTTAGTTTGTAAAAAACCTGTCGCTTTGAGAGGTCATTTCAAATAGTTTCCCCACTGTTTCAGTTCAATATTTTACTGCAGAACAGTGGATGTCAGATTAAATCTCCTGGCAGGGTGACAGAGTGAGGGAAGCAAATGCAGGATAATACCATCATCATCATCATCATCATCATCATCATCATCATCATCATCATCATCATCATCATCATCATCATCATCATCATCATCATCATCATCATCATCGTCATCATCATCATCATCATCACCATCATCATCATAAGCTGTAATAACCTCGTACTTGTCGTACAGTGGTTGTAGCTGCCACGGTTTCGTTCAACGATGATTCGGAAGGGTGGTAGGTAGCTGGGCATCGGAGGCAGGCGCTGATAAATTGATGCCTAAATACAGCACCGTCAGTGGGCTGTCAAGTGGGGGGGGGTTGGAAAAGGAGCTATGCAATGAAGGCGATTGCATGAATGCACGAGCGCCATTGAGGGCGCGACTGGAACATATCTGACGATGTCTCTAGCCATTGATGTGGCCCGTCTCGGGGGCCCCATCCAGGAAGACGGCAGTGACCAGCGCAGCTGAGTTTGCTGGTAATGGCTTTTATGCTTCGCTGCCAAGTCATTGTTTGACCGCCTCTGGCTCTCTTCCAACCTTCACATGGTTGGGCGAAGTGAGCACTTCGAGGAAGTCGGTCAACTGGCATACGCAGCACGTGGCCAAGCCAGCGCAACCTGTGCAGTGTGATCAGTTCGTCTATCGAGGGTGAGGTATTTCTCCCGAATACCATTTGACGAACTCCAGTATTGCTCGTCCGGTGTTCCCACCAGATCCGGGCGATGCTCAAATACAGGATATGTTGAATTTGATCTCATAATAGACAGTAATAATGTAGAAGTCGGATGTGGCCCAAGTATCAGGTTTCGTTTGCATACACTATTATTGTCTTCTCGCAGTGTGTAGTGTAATATCATTCAGCTGTGGTATTCTTCCGGTGCGTAGACGGTGTGCAACTTGAGGGAAGTACGAGGATTGCAGTGAGCAAAAAGAACAGGGATGTCTTTGAACCAGAAACTGTCCGAGTAGTATTCGTGCACTTTGACTGGTGAGCTGTCTCGAACTCTGTCTCTAAGGGCAGGAGCCTTCATGTCCTTCCTTTTCGGCCGTGTTTAAACAAATTTTCAGCTTGGTATAAACATATGATGGTTAGTGAACCACGGATGAAGTGAAAGCTCAACGTCTTCGTTGAATAATCCTAGTATTCTGAGTAATTTAAATGGTATTTTTGCTTCTTCCGTACAAGACGGCGAGCCTGGGTCAATATTCCTTGTTTCACGGTCACCAAGTTTATATTGTGAGCTCCCTAGCTTGATATTCTTCAGTAACCAGTGTCAGTGGGGTTCTTGTTATCAGTTTCTATCCAGATTGCCTGAATGAATATCTGGAGGTGTAGGCACCTCGGACTGATTGTGGTATGCTAGCTCCAAGTCACTATCCCGTCCACATTTACTCTTTTCTTTACAATAAGGCTTTCAAACAAATCATGGTTGTATGGCAGTGAAGCATCGGTGTTGAACACTGATATCATGCTGTCGATGATGATGATGATTCTTCAGCAATAAAGTGCCTTGTATAGACTGATAATTTTTTAAGAAACCCATTGTTTTCAGCTGAAAAACCACGATAAAGATTCGTCTGCTCTGTATCATTGAACACCCGGAAAAAGTGTATCCTATTGCTCCGCTTTTTTATGATTCTCGTTGTGATGGAAAACTGAAAACGCATCAGATATCCTCTTTCTGTTAAAGTTAACCACGAATAGCAGGTGCTCCGTTCCCTGAACAAGTTCACCGCCCAGAATTCTCTCTCACAGATTCATCCTGTCATCACTCCAGATGTGCTGATGGTAAAACGCTTGTTGACCGGAAGATGAAGGCGGCATTCCGAGCATCCACAAACATTGAGTTTTATCAATTCAAAAGGGAATACACTGACAAGTGTTAACTGTTGAATCCATGTCACTCAAATAGAGCTAATTCACATTTCGGATTCAAGCGCACTGACTTAGTGCACGTGAATCCTCTCACTGTCGCTTGGTGTTTGTTGAGCAGTCCACGTTAAACCACCATGTGTTACGTCATGTATGGCCTTCCCGAGATTCCGCGGTCTTTTAGTGCGACCGCTGATGAGACGTGCAAACCACCATCTCAGTCAGTGTCTGATTCCGTTCCTCTTGTTCATCGACTTTATTCCAGAACCAATTGGCTGATAGACTTCAAGTGAAGAGAATGCCGGTGTTGGAAGAGCTCAAACCGTAAAAACTCCATCTTTGCAGGCAATCCGTGTTATCTTAGTTTGTTTTTCCATACAGTCAAATGTGATTGTCTTGACGGCTGGAATGCTAGCACAATTGTCTTTGAAGTGATTTTTTTGCCCATTTTTGTTTCGAAATAGATTCAGTTTGGCAAGCAATGCCTTCTTCCTAATTTTTATTGGGAGCACTCGGGGAACGGTTGTATCGAGTTCTGTTTCCAAGGGACTGCATCCCAGGGGGGGGGGCGGTTTTAGAAGGATAGTCAAGCATCTCCCTGCTGAGTTGCTCACTAGCAAAATGTGTTTTTTCCCTCTTCGATTTTGCAAGTAAATTTACTGTAGTCAAGCATGCTCGAATTAATTGCACAACTTATATATTTCTACGAATACTTTTCTTGGTAGCCTAGACGTTCTGGACCGAGGAGGCAGTAATGTACGGTGTGATTTTGAGGCAAGATGTCCACATAACTCATTGAGAAGTATACTGTTGAGTGAGAGGTGACTCGAATGACCTACTCACATACTTTACTGTAATTAGGCCATCACTTTTGTGAAAACGGATGTCTCAACTCAGCGGCATGGGATTTCATTGCATTTTCTGCTCGAAGAACAAGGACAGTATCTGTGACAGCAAACACGGCATGCAAAAGTCAGGCAAAATTCAAGGGCAGTGTCTGTTTAGAAAAGAAGAAGCTCTGCACGGTTCATTCATCCTAGACAAGTGGCTGAAACTTCTCTCTGTGCTAGCAAAAGTGACTCGTTCGTCGGATAATTCAAGTTATACAGGTTTATTTTGGACGCAGACTTGAACGTCAAGCGGCCAGATTCGAATCATCTCTGCGATCGACCAGAGCCTAGAGATCGTAACCGTTTCAACAGTATCCTGTGACAGCCCATGAGCGGTTTGAGCTTTAGCTCGGTTCCTTCCAACCACCAGTCAGAAGCATGGGATAGAATGGGATAGAGTGTCGGGCATTTAAAAATCCTTCAAACCCTTCTGCAAGGACAAAGGTTAGCCACTTTTCACTGACGCCAGCCCACACAAAGGATGACTCTGAGACAACAGTTACCGAAGACGCCTCAGTTTGGCTACTTTCAGGGGCCATCTCTCAGGGCGATACAACGAAACGGCCCTTACTAGAGCACGGCCCTTGAGACTTAAATCGATCTGTGGGCAATGTCCCCCACATAACCAACCGCGACTTTAGTCTTCTTGCAGTAACCCCATCTGGTTAACTGATTGACGTAGTTACTAAAAAGATCATCGCATTCTCGGACGATTTCGGAGATCTGGACATATCAAGAAGGTCATCTTCCTGAAAGCAACCACTGAATGCCCGAAATCTACGGAGACTCTCAGCTCCGCTGGGTGTTGACCAGACAGACAACGCCCCCTCAATATGCAGCGCGTCACAGTCTTGCACCAGACCCATACAGTGCGAGTCAGCGTTGATCAAGGACAGACAACGCCTCCGCAATATGCAGCACGTCGCTGCCTCTTATCAAAGCCAGACCGCGTGCGTCAGCATTGGAACAGGTTCAGACAGTGTCCTTCCAATAAAAAGCCTGAGGCCGTTGTACTTTTCGCACTCGCACGCACTCGCGCTCTCGCAACCACTTTGTTGGAATATAGCTATTGTGTTCCCTTCCGTGAGCCTTTTTCTCTCCGACACTACTCACTGGAGCGGGTCAGCAGCAGATACGACAGGCCGGCGAATCAGCAGATATAACAGGACACATTCAACCAACGACAACTTCCGCCTGTGGGAGGTGCTGGTTGGTTGGAGAAAACGATTTCAAGTGGGAACTGTGACGTCGAATCTCCACAGTCTATGGATTTATTGATTTTCCAGCTTCAACCGGATGAATCATCCAGACGAAGGGTTAGGAGACAAAACCGACAGGCAGGCTTATTAACCATAATTTACCACAGGTGACTCAGTGGCTCAGACGATACTTTGCCATGGGTTAGTTTTTACCGTGATGGCAGACGAAATGCCCACGGTGGAAAGCCATGCTGAATGAAACCTCAAGTTGAACTGGGGTTATAACTCGCAATTCGACGCGAGTAAAATTCACAATTTGGGACCACGGTAGAGGAGCGAGATAGGTCAACGTCAACGTGATAATGTGGACAACTACGGGCTAATTGGATACCCCATGATGTGTATTCAGTTCCTGTTGTTCTAATCCACATTGAGTCGACTAATGCCACTGGCACATTGCTATGCAACAGCCTACTGCTAATGCCGTCAGTAGTGGTGGTAAAAAGTTGACAGCTAAAATGCCCAACTCAGAATAATCCAAACGCGGTGGGAAAACTAGAACTGCAAACGGGATAAATGAGTTGGTTGCCTGTCCAAAGACGAGTGTGATCTGGTCGTTCAAGTTGCGAAATAACTCGAAAACGGCCTTCGAGAAATACACTCTGTTGCAAATCAATTTGGTTTTCACGAGAGACTCAACTGAACCTTTCGTTCATGATATTCTACAACTGAATGTGCTGCACACAGGCAGCCTCATGATTCATTTGGCATGATATTCGAGATATCGCAGTACATCTTCATAAAGGAAACTACTCCCAAGGTTTCTGAAAACTTCGACAGCCCACAACCGGTTTCGCTCTTCTTGGGACTCATCAGGTAGGCGCAGGCCTCGAGTTTCCGTCAACCTTATGTTCTACTTGAACCCAAATTAGACTGTAGAATATCGTGCCAACTGAAACATGAAGCGGCCTGTGTACAGCACATTCAGTTTTAGAATATCACAAACGTGAGATTCAGTTGAGTCTCTCGTGAAGACCAAATTTATTTGCAAATGAGTGTATTTCTCGAAAACAGTGCATTATGGGTTCAATTAGAACGTAAGGTTGACGGAAACTCGGGGACTGCGCCTATCCGATAAGCCCCAAGAAGTGCGAAACAAGTCGTGGGTTGTCAAAGAGTTTTCAGCAACCTTGTGTGTAGTTTCCTTTATGGAAAAAGTGGACTGATCATGTTTGATGGCTTTGTTCGAGGCCTAATTAGAAGTTTGCTTGATAGTACTTGATAATGCTATTGTCCTCCGATAATTTACACACCAGAATATGTGGTTCTTACAATGTACTTATTCGTAGAACGGATATCTCAAAGAAGTTGGAATGTAGACTATGCAATCTATGGTTTAGTGATCACACGGCTCGCTTGTTCACCTGTTTACCGTAAAGCTTAGGTAGACTGTCCTTTTATAGGACCTACCACGTCGGTTTCAACCACACTGTCAGGCTCGATCTAATGTCGCCAGCGAGGCGAACTGCATCTCTCTCTAGAGTCGATCAACCTTTTATAACGAAAAAAATTGGCCTAGTTATTCCACGTTTTCCTTAAAAACTAGTTCACTTCATCAGTGTGCCATTGGGGGCTATGTGAGGGGTACATCCATATTGATTTTGGCATGATTTCCACTGGCGTATCTGATCCTCAAGCTTGTGAACTAAGAATGTTGGTCCCTTTTTATATCTACTGATTCGCTAATCTGTTGTGTCCGATTGCTGACCCGCTCCACTGCCTGGTGCTGGGAAAAAAGACTCACAGAAGAGAACACAACCGCTATATTCCGAACAGGCTACTGCGACAGCGTGAGTGCACGCGAGTGCAAAATTACAACGGTCTCAAGCTATTTACTGGGGGGACACTGTCTGAACTTATCCAGTGCTGACGCACGCGGTCTGGCCTTGGTACGAGGCTGGGAAGCGCTTCATATTGAGGGGCGTTGTCCGTCTGGTCAACATCTGGCTGAGCTGAGTTTCGGTACAATTTGGCCATTCAGTGGTTACTTTCAGGAAGCTGACCAATTCGACCATTCAGTGGTTACTTTCAGGAAGCTGACCGTCCCGATAGTCCCACACATATAGGCTTGAAAGTTCAATGAATCTAATCGCATTAACTGAGATCTCCACTTATCGAATCCGCTTAGAAAAAAGAGCATGTTTCGTCCATCAAGAACTGAGTCCACACAAAATTTAGCACGGCTGATCACCGGTCTCCAAAAACCAAGAGCGGAATTGAATCAAATCTTTGATGTGGACAGATAAACACTATGATTTCATCGTTCAGGTTAATCACCGCTCCCATACATCGACCCATCTTTCCACCCCAGAGCAAGGAAAAAACATTTGAAAGATGGTATCCGTGACAGCTGTAAATTCTCAACATAAAATTGCCCCAGTTACTGGGACAACGTCCATATGTGTGTGTGATCGATTGGTTGTCACGTAGACTAGTCTGTTGTTGGACGGTCTGTTGAATACTCCAGTCCGTTGCCATATCTACAGCTATTCCACACAGTGCAATATGCAGTCAAGAGAAACTCGACTGAGAAATTTTTCGTGATAATATATACAATAATGTCAAACGTTTTGATTTTGACATCCATTTCTTATCCATAGTTTGGTGAAAATGGCACCCAGGTATCAGCTGTGAACTTTAGTGGCATACTAGACAAACGCATTGATTTGGGCGACAACAGAAGGTCTAGTCTCCATCGGAGAATGGAGCGAACGAGTCGGTTCGTCTATTTTTACATTTGCGGCGGAACGCTTGGTTTTGGATTCCGATGTGCCAGGATTTAAAGGAAAATTGTATTTACCATGGAAATTTCATCCACTCCATGTTTAAAAACTGAGAATCAATATACATGTGTTTCATCCTTAATGGGGATTATCAGTAGTACGAAACTCCGAGAGTTTCGAACCCACGACCGTTCTCAACCGCAATCACGCACCGCTCATTGCTGCTAAGATACTGTGAGAATTGAGTTTCGGACGTATATCGAGAGTTTCGAACGACCGTTCTCAACCGCAATCACGCACCGCTCATTGCTGCTAAGATACTGTGAGAATTGAGTTTCGGACGTATATCTGTCTGTAT